ACATTTTTTGTGTGTGTGAGGAAGATCAGCCCTGAGCTAACATCTGATGCCAATCCTCCTCTTTTTTTTTTCTTTTTGTTTGCTGAGGAAGATTGGCCCTGAGCTAACATCCGTGCCCATCTTCCTCCACTTATATGGGACACCGCCACAGCATGGCTTGATAAGTAGTGCGTCGATGCACACCCGGGATCCAAACCTGCGAACCCTAGGCCACCAAAGTGGAACACGCGCACTTAACCACTTGCGCCACCGGGCCAGCCCGCCTATTCTGATATAGAGCTGCAATTTTCTGATTTTGTCTATCTGTTTATCTCCTTGCTCAAAGCTTTGTAAACCTTTGCCTTTTTGTTTCAGGTAGGAGGGTTCCCTTCATCATTTCTTGTAAGGCAGGTCTAGTGGCGATGAACTCCCTCAGCTTTTGTTTGTCTGGGAAAGTTTTTATTTCTCTGTCAAATCTGAAGGATAATTTCACTGGATAGAGTATTCTTGGCTGGTAGTGTTTGTCTTTCAGTGTTTTGAATATATCATTTCACTCTTTCCTAGCCTGTAAGGTCTCTCCTGAGAAATCTGCTGAAAGCCTGAAGGGGGTTCCTTTGTAGATTATTTTCTTCTCTCTTGCTTCCCTTAATATTTTTTCTTTGTCATTGACTTTTGGAAGTTTTAATATTATATGCTTTGGAGAAAGTCTTTTTGCATTGATGTAATTAGAAGTTCTTTTAGCTTCAGGCGCTTGCATGTCCAGTTACTTCCCCAGGTTTGGGAAGTTCTCAGGTATTATTCCTTTGGATAAGCTCTCTGCTCCTTTCTCCCTCCCTTCTCCTTCTGGGATACTTATAATCCTTATGTTACTTTTCCTAATTGAATCATATATTTGTGAAAGCATGTTTTCATTTTTAAAAAATCTAAGTTCTCTCTCCTCCTCCACCTTGATCATTTCTAGGTTTCTATCTTCGAGCTCACTGATTCTCTCCTTCATTAGGTCTGCTCTATTTTTTATGCTTTCTACATTATTTTTTATCTCATTAATTGTGTTTTTCATATCCAGAATTTTTGTTTGGTTTGTTTTCTTTTCTTTTGTTTTTTTAGAGCTTCAATCTTTTTGCTGAAATACAAGAGGTACTTCTGTTCATTAATTTTATTCCTGAGCTCAATGAACTGTCTTTCTGAGTTTTCTTGTAACTCCTTGAGTTTCTTTATGACAGCTATTTTGGATTCTCTGTCAGTCATATTGTAATCGTCTGTGACTTCAAGTTTGGTTTCTAGAGAACTGTCATTCTCCTTCTGTTTTGTCCTTCTGTTCTCCTTCTGTTGTGTTACTGTAGTTCTTCATGGTGTTTGATGAACTGATCCTCTGCTGATGCAGTGGTAGTAACCACTTTTCTTATTTGGGTACAGCTTTTGTTACTTTGGTTCTGAGCTGCTTCTGGTTGTAGTTGAGAGCCTGCACTTTCCGCCCTCCACTACCTCTGCCAGAGGCGTCATCTATGCCCTCCTTGTGCTGCTTGTACCTCTAAGGTTGCTGGTGGCTTGCTACTTCTGATATCACTGCAGTCTCAGGTGTTGCTACCAGGGTCACCAGGCTGTGAGCACTTCTGCTGCTTCTGGGGTCTCCTGTGTCTTGTATTCTCTCACTTGCTCTCCGCGGTCCCAGGTGCTGCTGCTCTGTGCACCATGTATGCTGCTATTTCTGAGTTATGTGAAGGTGTTGGCAGTACTGCTGCCAGGGGTGCTGGGTTCATAGGTGTCGCTGTTGCTTTCGGGGGCCTGGGTTCTTGTATGCAGCCCCTGCTGCAAGTAGAGCCAGTGTCGGGGCTACCACCACTGGGGGCTGAGTGTCAGGTTCTGCTTTGGTTCCTGAAGCCTCAGGTCTCAAGTGCCACCTGCCACTGCGGGGGGAGGAATAGGGGCTTAGCCACAAGTGTTGTTGCTGACCCTGCAGTCTCTCATCACTGGCACCTGCCGATATACTTTTTGAGACCTGAGATCAGGACACCCTGTTGCTGCCAGGGAAATTTACACCTTGGATGTAGTCCTCACTGCTGAAAAGACAGATGCCACTGCCAGGGGAAGGAGAGAGGGCTGGGTCACCAGCTCTGCTGTGTCCCAGAGCCTCAGGATGTGTGCGCCACCTGCCACTGCTGGGGGTGGGGAGCAGGGACCAAGCCACGAGTGCTGTGTTTGCCCTTGTAGCCTTGGTCACTGGTGTGCACAGCAGTTTGAGGATCTGCATTTTGGATCACTTCCAACTGGGGGAGAGGGAAGGGTCTGCTCCCCTAGTTCCACTGCCTCCAGGAGGTCCAGTCTACCCACCTTGAGATGTGTAGATGCATGGATCACTCAGACGTTCTGATGTGCTGTGCAGGGAGTCCTTTGTTGGTCACTGGATGTCTCGCTCTGCCATGATGCTCTATTCTATTCTTTTTGTTGCAATTGTAAATAGGGTTGTTATCGTGATTTCTCTGTCTGCTAGTTTGTTATTAGTATATAGAAAGACAACTGATTTTTGTATGTTGATTTTGTACCCTGCAACTTTACTGTATTTGTTAATTATTTCTAATAGTTTTTTGGTGGATTCTTTACAGTTTTCTATATATAAAATCAAGTCAACTGCAAATAGTTTTACTTCTTCTTTTCCGATTTGGATCCTTTTTATTTCTTTTTCTTGCCTAATTTCTCTGGCTAGGACTTCTGATACTATGTTCAATAAGAGTGGTGACAGTGGGAGTCCTTGTCTTGTTCCCTTTCTTAAAGGGATAGCTTTCAATTTTTCACTGTTGAGTATGATGTTGGCTGTGGGTTTGTCATATTTGGCCTTTATTATGTTGAGATACTTTCCTTCTGTACGCATTTTGTTTAGAGTTTTTATCATAAATGGATACTGAATCTTGTTGAATGCTTTCTCTGCATTTGTTGAGACGATGAGGTGGTTTTTATTCTTCATTTTGTTAATGTGGTGTATCATGATGATTGATTTGCAGATGTCGAACCATCCCTGTATCCCTGGAATAAGTTCCACTTGATCGTGGGGTATAATCTTTTTAATGTATTATTATATTCAATTTGCTAATATTTTGTTGAGAATTTTTGCATCTGTGTTCATCAGCGATATTGGCTTGTAATTTTCTTTTTTTGTGTTCTTGTCTGATTTTAGTATCAGGGTGATGTTGGCCTCATAAAATGAGTTAGGAAGCGTCCCCTCCTCTTCAGTTTTTTGGAAGAGTTTAAGAAGGATTGGTATTCATTCTTCTATATACGTTTGGTAGAATTCACCAGTGCAGCCATCTGGGTCCTGGACTTTTGTTTGTTTGGATATTTTATTTTATTTTATTTTATTTTATTTTATTTTATTTGCTGAGGAAGATTCACCCTGAGCATCTGTGCCAGTCTTCCTCTATTTTGTACATGGGCCGCAGCCACAACATGGCTGCCAACGAGTGGTGTAGATCCGCACCTGGGAACTGAACCCTGGCTGCCAAAGCGGAGCATGCCAAACTTAACCACTAGGCCACTGGATTGGCCTCTGTTTGGAGATTTTTGATTACTGATTCAATCTCCTTACTAGTAATTGGTCTGTTAGATTTTCTATTTTTTCATAATTCAGTCTTGTTAGGTTGTCTGTTTCTAGGAATTTATCCATTTCTTCTGGGTTGTCCAGTTTCTTCGCATGATCTATTTTAGATCAGTGTGTCTTAAACTTTAATGTGTGCATATGAATCAATTAGGCATCTTATTAAAAGGTTGATTCTCATTCGGTAGGTTCTAGAGTTAGGCTTGAGATTTTGTATTTCTCACAAGCTCTCAGTGATGTTGATGCTGCTGAACTGCAGACTACACTTTTGAATAAAAGCTCTTGGATGTGGATTCTTAATGAAGGCAAATTGTCCATATAAGGCAGACACGGATTTGGCATAATTCAGCATAGATTCTTTGGGGCCCCAAAGGCCGTACTGGGTGGTGAGAGTGTCAAACTGCATGGGAAACTGTCATTAAAAGATAGAATTTCACAAGATCTGGAAAGCTCAGTTCTTACTGTGCCGCTGCCCTTTTATATGTTTTGCATTATCATTCTGCAACTATGCGCTTGTTAAGAGAATGTTGACAAACATCAGGCTCTTTTTGTTTTTGAACCAAGCTCAGCATCGTCAAGGCCATATCCTTCACCAAAGGTAGAAAAGCAGAATCAGTGCCCAGGGGTACCTGAACAAGTTCTCTGCCACCCTGTTTCTCCACAGTATAAAACCTCTATTAGGCATATAACTTTTTTCTTTGTAAAAGGACTACTGCTTCGTGCTTTGTGCGTTCGTTGAATTCTGCTTTCTCTCATATTATCATTGTTATCCCTACTTCCTTTTTGTTTGAGTTTGCCTGATATAGCAAGGATAGAAAAAGATCTATTTGAATATGAGATTGAGGGAGGCATGTCAAGGTTTCTAATATCTGTGAAGTTTGGAAGTTGTGTTCTCTTTACATGAAGCTGAGGTCTCTGAACGTTTTATAAATTGACTCCTCACAGGAAAGACGGGAAAAAGAGAGTCTTAGAATATTTCATTGTTCGATGAGTAGTGATTGTGGCAAAGAAAGATTGAATTATTTTCTCCCACGTCACATAGCAAGTTGATTTAGTGGAAAAGGTGTGGGCATTGGAATTAGACTGATTTGGAGTCATGTATGGCCTTGGGCAAACAGTTTAATTTTTCTAAGCCTCAAATTCCTCAGCTATAGAATGGGGATATAATTCCCATTGAGTTGATGTGAAGATCAAATAGGAAATATTTTAAAAGCTCCTTGTACAATGTCTGGCCTGCTAGCTGTGACTACATTTAATGGTATTAAAATCTCAGGATCTTCAGGAGTAAGAATCCTTGTCCCTCACTGATCTTGGAGGTTAATCTTGTGTTCTTTAGGGAGATCATGCTCACTTGTAGTGTCAGGATTCCAGCTTGGTGAGTCTGAGATTTCCAAGGCAGGATTGGTTGTCATGGCTTATTTCTCTTTCTCAGATATGTCTCTGTAGATCTCCACTCTCTCCAGAGAGGGGAACCCAGGGGAAGAGATTATGGCTGCTGTGGTTTTTTCAATTGGACCTCTGGTAAGTTGGGGTTTCCTCTGGTTCTGACCTCTTGTCTTGGGTTGAGAGCATGTTTACTTTTCCTGAAGTCTTGTGACTTCTCTATCTCACCCACACCCCTTCTGGTAACTGAATCCAATTGTTTGATCCATGAAAATTGGGTTTATCATCATAAAGTTTGTAATCTATAGGAAGATTCACTATACATATTGAACCAAATATCAAGACACATGATCTTTCAAAAAGTGTCTGGGCTATCTTTAGATATGATAAGCAGTCTGGGAAATTTACTTACCATGTTAAATTTGTATTGTTCCCAGGATATCAGTTATTTATGGGATAGTAGAATGGAATATTTTCCAATTGGAAAATTTTGTTTAGGAAATTTTGGGAAAAAATATACGTACACACACACACACCCTTAATTCATAGGGACCATTCCCCTTGTACCCACTCTCAGTGATCTCCTCTTTTCTACCCATTAAGAAGTGATCAAGCTTAATAGATGACATGGAGAGAAAGAAGATGTTTAAGACACAGTGCTTGGCTGTAGGGAGCTTACAGTCTCGTTGAGGTAAGGCATACAAAGAAATAGTTACATGATTTATTTAGGTGAATGGTAGTTGCTGAGCAGTATGATAAGGATGATGAGTGCTATGTAAGGAAAGAAATGGGACATTAGTATGGGCTAAATTGGTAACGGAAAGCTCATGAGGATAGTTAGATGTAAGCTGGTACCCAATTAGCAAGTGGGATTTAAATTGTCATTAAGTATTTATGAGGGTTCTTCAGGTGAGAAGGGAGTTATGGGCAAGGCTCTGAGGCAGAGAACAGTGGGTGAGCTAGTGATTCAAGATGGAAATTTATGAAAGATAGGACTGGAAATGAGATATTTAAGTTGAATCTTTTAATGTTCCCCTGAAGACATTAAAGTGTTTATATGTATGTGTGTGTCTGTTTGGGTATATTTGAGATGGGTATTAATGTGATAAAAGCTGTGTTTTAGCAGTGACTTTTTGAAATAAGAGATTCAGAAGAAAGGTAATACCAACAAATATAATTTTTTATAGTAATGATCCATAAAAACCTGTAGTAGTGATCTTTTATTCTTTGTAGCCAGAATAAAGAACATGTAAACGTCCTTAAAACATACCCTTGAAAAGATAAATAAAGACCAAAATGTTGCATTTGATCAGTAGACCCAAAGTATTTGTCTAGTATTGGCCTGATCAAACCCATTCTTCACATCATTGTTAATTTTCTGGAAGCTGAACTTTTGTATTTTTTTAAGGAAAAACTTGGGAGAGGAGAGCTAAGATAACATTTTTCTCAATGAAATTTAAGTAAATAGTTTTATTACCTATAATTTTTAAAAATGGCACAAAATCTAAAATTGATAAGTACTGCTAGGAGATATAGTAAAATTTCATTTCATTTATAGAATCAGGCCCTCGTGGAGATACAGCTTCTAAGGTTTGGAAGAAAACAGTGTTATGAGAGGTCCCTGAAATATTTCCTGAATGGCTACTGAGAAATGTCCCTCCACCCCAAACACTAATGATTTTTCAACTGTAGAAAACAGATGATGTTAGTAGGTTTTAAATATTATTCTTGAGCAAGACAGATAATTTCTGAGAAATAGATTTCATCCCCATATGAAAAAGGAGAATTATGTACCATCTGAAGGTCCCTTATTATAAGTTTATTTTTGTTTTGATAGGTTCCTTGTTAAAAGCCTCTTTTAAAAACTATGCAGTTATATCTTGCTCAGGCTTGTGTGTGTTATTGTCTCACACAGGTGAAAGAAGATTATGACTGGATGTTACTGTGGGACCTTAATTTCATCCCTAGATAAAACAGTAAAAGAGGTCGTCCCATATACACCACGCCCACAGTGGGTGGTGTCCCTGTTGAGGCTCTGCTGTAGGTCATAGGCAGCCCATCACTGTGATCTTGTCCTGTATCCCCTCAGAGTCCTGAAGTTTCCCAGCCGGATGAAGATCTTCGCCTTCAGGCAGAAGAACCAGAACTGGTAAAGGTAATACTTAGCATTTTATGTAAGGGGAATAAAGCGAAAGCGCCTCTTTTACTGCTCCTAGTTCTTAATGTTCCCAGTTCATTGCAGCTTCACAGTGAATACTATCTTGCTTAATAGGTGTTGTAACCCCAGGTATGGTGACATCAGTTTGACAGATGTCATTTCTCTCAGTTGTGGCAGCCCTAATTTGGCAGATGGTCACACCATAATTGCTAATAATAAAGTATCCTGTGTCACACAGTCTGATTCTTGCTTCACGATGTAAGACCCAATACCATGAAAAATATCAAAAATACGTGAACATTGGTGGAAATATTCTTAAGATGAGTTTAAATTGCTTTAAATTTTTTCATTTCCTTACACTTATTAAGCTTACTTTCTTATTTGTGAGTACACAATCCACCTGATTTTTCCAGAAAAAATCAAAATCAGAAATGTATGAATTGTGTTAAGAAAAATTATCCAAAACTTAGAAATAAGGCAAATGGTAAATGTCTGCACTTTAAGTGTCGTGTTAGACCATTGTCTAACCAGCCTAAGGGCCACGTGACGTAGCAGGGAAGGTTACGTTGTCTGACTTACTATTTACTATGGATTAATATTCAGACCCTTTAAGCTAGATGTTAACTTGTAGAGAAGATGGAAAAGTTGCAAATTATTTCTTCCTGGGAGAAAAGATAATCCCAAAAGTTATGGTTTTATTGTCCTGTAGGACATTTACCAGATTTCTCTCTAATTTTGCAATCTTATTGCTGCATTCTTTTTTCCACTATCTATATATGTTTCTTTTATCTCCCTTGAACCAGCTTTGTCAAGATGCTAATCTCTCGTTAATCACTTACATAAATCTTTGATATGTATCGATTATATTTTTAGGAGATTTATGTTTTTTAAAAAAATTTTTCTTGTGTGTTTGTGAAGAAGACCAGCCCTGAGCTAACATCCGATGCCAATCCTCCTCTTTTTTTTGCTAAGGAAGACTGGCCTTGGGCTAACGTCTGTGCCCATCTTCCTCTACTTTATATGGGACGCCACCACAGCATGGCTTAACAAGCGGTGCGTCAGTGCGCGCCCGAGATCCGAACCGGCAAACCCCGGGCCACTGCAGCAGAGCGCGTGCACTTAACTGCTTGCGCCACCAGGCCAGCTCCCCCCAAAAATTTATTGTATAGGAGAAATTCAACCCCTATCTCTTATTTTTTTATAATTATGTTTTTACATTTTTGAAAATTATACTTTGAAGATTAGTTTCATTCCAAAAATGTTTTATATAAAACTGATGGGGGTTTTTTGTTTTTATGAGAAAATGCATTCTGAGATTCAGTCTTTTTTTTTTTTTTTTTGCCAGTTTAATTTTTTGTTTATTGCAGTAACATTGGTTTATAACATTGTAAAAATTTTAGGTGTACATCATTATACTTCTATTTCTGCATAGATTACATCATGTTCACCACCAAAATACTAATTACAACCCATCACCACACACATG